GAAATTTATGAGATAAGACACACTGTTATCAAAGAGTAAGATTCTTGAGACTTTGGATCTGACATAGTGTAATGGTGTTTGTTTCCTATTATATTTCATCCTTGACTTAGTTACTGTAGGACTTTTCTTCCTCAGTATTGTATCTTCTTTCACCAGACAAAACCTAGCGATCTTGTTCATTTGACCTTGATCGAAAAAGTAAACAACAAATGAGTCTTAATACACCAGGATGACAGCAAAGATATCTGGAGGAAGACAGATTCAGCTATGCACCTTAACCTTGAAAAACTATTGCCTGGGTGCCAGGGTTTATATAACTTCCTCAGACTGGGTCAACAGGTTTTATATTAATCTAATCATAAGTTTCTTAAGTTTAACCCAAGAAAGTTTAGGATCAAAATGTTTTTGTCTGAGTTATCCAAAAGTTGGTGAAAAACAGTTAAGTGGTGAAAATGTTCAAAAAAGATCTCAATGTAAAGTACAGGTAGTGGGCATTAGTATAGTTGATAATACCACTAGCTGTCAGACCATGGACTGGAACTTGAACTGAGAAGACCTGAACCTTAAAACACTCCGTCTTTAAAGGGAACCTTAACAGAAGATACTACAAATGCCTGTGTCAGAGTCTTAGGGCCCAGGCTGAGGAAATAAATACTCCTGATCACTTTTGACCGTAGCAAAAACTTCTACTAAAGGGATACATTAAACACCCAGCAAGGCATATTCATAACACAAACTTTTGTGTCCAAAAGTTGGTTTCCACTTTTACTCGATCCCAAATTATCCCTCCCTGGGAATGATGTCTTGAATTTCATGATTACTCACGTTCCCATTCTCGTGAGAAGAAATTAAGGATGGGGAGAAATAAATTATGTAAATATTAAAGTGAAAATTACCTCCTTACTCTTCCTATGACACAATTCACCTAAGCTCCCTAACAAAACATATTATGAATGAAAGGTAATTTAGCTCTGTATAGAGGAGGTGGGGTTGAGTTGTATTAAAGGCTGGTCAGGTAATGGCCGCCTCCCTAGCTGTGCAGGCTTTAGGTGCTCGTTCCTCTTAGCCGCTTCCTCGGCTTTCACCGATGTTTGTAACCTCAGTTTACACAACTGAAGTCTTCCATAGATTATTGCTGATTGTATTTAAATTGTGAATCTTAAAAAAGGCTTGTCAATAGAACTTGACTGCGGATTGCTTTTGAGAAGATGTTTTCCTCGTCAAACTTGCAACAGAACTGTCCAGTTCCCCTACTGAGAACGGGGAGCAGTTTCATCTTTACCGAATCTACGTCTACCATCAAATTCTAAGATATACACAAAAGCTAATTATAATATTAATAAATGTTAATAATTAAATATGAGTTTATATACAATAATAAATTTTAATAGTAATTAAATAATAAATTTTATTTATTTACAAGAATGAAACATAAATTAATATGATCCCTTCACCTAACATGGTGGGAAATTTCCCACAAATGGTCAGATAACGCCTTCCAATGAAAATATAATTGTCTGCATTTTCGACTGTGACAACTTTAGTAAGGTTGTCCAACAATCCCCAATCTTTACTACCCACAAGTTGCATCAGGTGTCTGGGACAAACCTGTAATAAGTTCTAGAGCCCAAACCTACTGAGAACACAGAGTACCCCTAACTGTTCAGAGCAGGAGACCAAGAAATAAATAAAATTAAATATTTGCAAAGGTGGAACAAGAAATTCCAAACATTTGCGAACCCAATTGTTTTTATGTAAGTTTGAGTGGAGCTTACTTGTTGTTTCTATTAACAAAATTCAGGCGAAAGTTCAGTTGTCTTTAGAAATAAGAAACTAACATCAGTATCAGGAACACCTGGTGGAGTGTCATATCTTACATTCATGGATCATATGAATATAAACAGACGATTTGTAACCCTGGAGTCATCTTGTGCAAACAACAATATTCACGAATTTTATATTAAAACCATTCGTTGAGACTGATCGTTCCAAACAACAATTAAGAAACAACTATTCAATTCCCTCGGGTGTCTTACCTGGGATATGGGACTGGAGTAAGACCTCGGTGGAGTTAAAGGTAATGTTATTTGAGGTGGTAACTCAGGCTTAGACGTAAGCAGGACATAAACGGCCTGATTATTCTTACTAAACGACCCAGTGCAGAATGAATTTGCTGTGCGAACCCAAATGTTTTTATGTAAGTTTGAGTGGAGCTTACTTGTTGTTTCTATTAACAAAATTCAGGCGAAAGTTCAGTTGTCTTTAGAAATAAGAAACTAACATCAGTATGAGGAACACCTGGTGGAGTGTCATATCTTACATTCATGGATCATATGAATATAAACAGACGATTTGTAACCCTGGAGTCATCTTGTGCAAACAACAATATTCACGAATTTTATATTAAAACCATTCGTTGAGACTGATCGTTCCAAACAACAATTAAGAAACAACTATTCAATTCCCTCGGGTGTCTTACCTGGGATATGGGACTGGAGTAAGACCTCGGTGGAGTTAAAGGCAATGTTATTTGAGGTGGTAACTCAGGCTTAGACGTAAGCAGGACATAAACGGCCTGATTATTCTTACTAAACGACCCAGTGCAGAATGAATTTGCTGTCAGTTTCCTTCATGGTTTCGTTATATCCAAATTTGGACACAAAGAAACACAAAGTAAACTCTCGTAAGATAAAATCATGGGTATAATTTATCAATGTTGTATTAACTAAAATCCAATTTTTTTCCTGAGGTTCCATTCACCTAAAAACATAACTGAGGCTCCATTCGAAATCCCACAATAATAAATCCTTCTAAAAGACACAGGCCAGGCACCTGCATCCAAATTAAAACTGCCATAACATAGACCGAGTTCTACACCGTGGACTTTTACATGGTGTTAAGCTGTGAAGGCACCAACACCCCAATTTGCCAGTCACTCTCATAAAAGGTTTTTAACAAATGTAGGCATTACTAAGGAAACCACACAAGCACCTGATATTTTGAGGCTACAGCCAACACTTGAGTAAACTGTTTCAAAATATTATCAGAGTATCTTGGTTCCAGCACTTATCTTTCAACAGGACCAGCGCCAATCAGTTCATTTGACAGGATTGAAGGGTCGACGACATTTTGAAAGTCACTTTAGTGTCGAGAAATGCACATATAAGTGTGAGATGAAAGCTTCTTGGCCTTCACCCTAAGTGGTGACTTTCTTCCATGACCCTTACTGTCTATGATGGATAAGGTTGCGATGGAAAGGTCGACAAATATTTTAATTAGTCCCAGTCAACAAAATTGGGGATTCTAGGAAAATTAAATTTTTCAACCCATAACCTTGACTGAATAAGCGTGCATCCCCCGACCCAGGTAATAAGCTGGATGAACACTGCAACAGTGAAAATGTAATGAACAATGTAACAGAGAATAAACTCAGCATATATAGATATATATGCTGTTATGTACACTATCCCAAAAAAGTATTGGAAATGAACACAGTAACACGTGCACAACAATCTTGGTTTGGTTGGTATTTCTGATTGTGAGTTGCACCTTTCGTTCTTTCTTCTTGCACCTGCTAAGATCCATGATATCTGCAGTATACTACCTATTCTCTACATAATGTAATGAAATAGGATGAATTGTGATACCATAATGCAAAACCAATAACGTCATGAGTAACCCCGCTGATTTATTCACCTTAGATACTATTTCAGCCTCAGGGGATGGGTTACCAAATAGGAATATAACGTTACTATGTTTTCATAAACCGAGGTTAAAACAGAATCGTTTCAAACGAAATATGAAACACTATGATCCGATATTACAATCATTTACAAATATAGTAATTACATGTGTATTATGGTGTCATATCCAATTACAATGACATTATGTGTTACTGCATTTCGATATTATTTCTACCTTAATTGATGAGGTAACAATTATGAATATAACGTATCATCTCATGATTTGTGCCGACAACGGAACATTATCTGATACACACTACGAGACGATGTCGTCAAGTCACTATGGAGACACCACAGGCAACACGAGGCAGCATCATCGCCCTTCACGACATAGGCCTAAACAACAAGGATACAGCACGACGGCTTGGCTAACAACCGTTGATTTATAGGTAACTGTTATTCGGAAAGTGACATTTCTCCATGTCTGTCGGTGCAAGCTGTGTTTTCCAATGAGTCTCGGGTACTAGTATTGGTCATGGGTTTCCAGCAGAAAACACCCACTATGTATCAGACTGCAGTTGATATATTTTCGTTACATTAATATCATTATATTATTCTGCTAAAGATGGACCACGGTAATTACCCATATTACAACAAATACCAGAAATTATAACTGGCAACCTCACAGATACTAGGAAGGCTGGCCTACCAACATAATGCAGGAATCACAATTAGTGATTGGAAATATTCGTCCTTAGTGACACATAGTATCGATGAGGAAAGGGGCCGATAGATTTTGGGAGAGTGTACAGCTGTGGAAATTGATTTAGGCAATGTTTGGGAATGTGCTTTATAGTCATGGATGATGTAGGGTGATTGAGATTTCAAAATCTTTTTACTCAGATTTTCCTTTACATTCCATTTTTTCATGCTACACTGACATAACTAATAATGAAAAGCAGACACTGACTCTAAACCAATCCTGTGTGGATATAATTTTGGCTACAACTGTACATGAACATATTTTGCCTGTCTATGTGAATTTTCGTGTTATTCAGGGGGAAACATTGGACAATGATGTTCCTACTTAGCAGAAATGTGAGCTGCCAAAGTCAAGTCAAACTGTTGGTGCCCTTCAATGGCCCAATACATTCATCTGCTAGGATGATCAGCTTACCTGGGATGATGTCACTCCTGCTACTTACTTTCTGCTTTAATTACTGTCAGCGTCGTCGTCGTCTGCGTGAAGTAGTTTCTTTCGTAGCTCCTGTTAACTAACTGACTGTGACGAAGGAGGTTAAGAAATTGATCAAGGCCATAGTTTAAAACACGTTTATTTTTGGAAAAATCATATACACAATACCCAGCATTTAATGCTTTCATTGAATGCAGACTGGAAAGAAGAATTTCGATAACGGCTCAACTAAATTCTTATGATTCTATTATAAGAGCTAAAAAATGTATTTTACAGAATTGCAGACATTTTGAACTTTGTTGTAACAATGTTTTCTTCATGAGAAGTTGAATTTAGGATACAAATATACAACCACTGTAGAAATGTCACTCTACACTGCAGTCACGGGAAGAGGAGCGGCCCAGTCACTGGCACAGGGAACGTCCAGTATGTACAAAAACAAGGGAAAGCAGCTCAGAAATCGGATAGATTTTTACTACTACACAGTTACCTAACCATACGGGGTCCACTGACGCCAAAAACAGCTTTATAATATTACAATGTGGCAACACAAGAGCACAGTAACAAGAGAAACCATTTCAGTTGCTTTTTTCTTCAGGATTTATGTAATGAGCAGTTAAGAAAAAAAAATTAAATCATGTAACTTTATATATATATATATATATATATATATATATATATATATATATATATATATATATATATATATATATATATATATATATATATATATATATATATATATATATATATATATATATAATCCTTCAGACTGAGTGCGCGCTTGTGCAAATTTTTTGTCATATGTAAGTTTTTTCACATTAAAATATGCCAGTAACTTTAGCATCATCCAGAATTTGATTCCTGATTTTGTTCGTTGAATTTTGCTGATAACTATAACAAAAAAATAAAATAAAATATTGGGGTAGCAAAACATTTTTTGCTCTTTAATTAAAGACTTTCATTTGTTATACTGTACACAATTAGTACATAATTTTATGGTCTGAAATATTGCCAAATCATTGCAGAACAAAACTTCTTTGTAAAGGTGCACTTGGCGTACACACACAGCTCCTATCTGGATACATATTTTTTACATAGGAAGAGATAATAATGATAATTATGATAATAGCAATAATAATGACAATAATAAAAGATAAAATATATATATAGAAAAAGGAACCGTAACAAAGCAGTACTCAATTATCATTGCCGGAAGTGAGCGCGTGTTAACATGTTTACCAGTGTGTAACACAGCGGTAAGTTGTCCAGTCACAACTGCCTCCTGATGCTCTACAATGGCATCGGACAGCATTAACACAGAACATCACAGAAATAATATCAATATTGCTGCATGTGTGAAAAGTGTGTTTGGTTATTTTATTAACTTCTTGCTTGGTTTTATTTTATTTTTATTTAAATGTTACCTATTATACAAAGTTAAGTAGGAGTAGTAATGAGTCCCCGCATGACACAAATGTCTCTGTGTTACCAACCAGTGTTGCCAAGCATGACAACGTCGTGAAACAAGTGCTAGTAATACGTATACACTGCCATGTCGGAGCTGGTATCACTGCTATGTGCCGGCCTCCTGGGGTCAGATGTGGGGACTCTTGACCACTAAAGCGTTTATATTACATTTATTGGGATCATCTGCATTGTCTAGTTTTCATTTTCTCTGACCACATTATTTTTTACCATCGTGTACCATAACATGATATCAATCGCAAAAAATTAGAAATTGAAGCTTGTTTAAAATCGAGGTATTTTTTTAGGCATTCTGATACTCCACAAGCTATTGCAGAAAGTCACTTCAAAAAGTCATTTAAAAACCACCAAAAGTAACGTACAACATACAGGATGAAAACTCCAATCGTATACTGAATTCACAATCGTATACAGCCGCCACAGTCTCTCGATTACTTTCTGCAATATCAAAGTGCAAAGGTTTGTTTGATGAGGGAGAGAGGGGGTACTGCATTGAATGGTTCTGCTTGGGGGTTCTGCTGAGGGTTAGGGACGTATTGTAGAGGTCAGGCTGTCAGAGATCAGGCTGTATGCTAGTCTGAAGTGAGGTAATTGATGATCCACAAGATGGTAATTCAGGATACTTGGAGAGAAGGGGGGGGGGACGGAGCTTGGGAGGTTGAAGTGGGAAGGTTGACTTGGGTAAAACAAGAAGGGATAGTCTTAAACTTTGCAGATGGGAGAAGTCAGATATAGGTAGGAGTATAGTGTATGTTGCACATTTACACTGTGGGTAGGCTAAATTACCACCATGCCAGGGTCATCCTGCCATCACACTTTTCCTGAGTTTGGGGGGTCACAGAGGCGAGCTAGGTCATCTTAGGTCATCTGTCTGACCCGACCAGTGGCGCATCGCGGCGGTGTGGATGTTGGTTTAGCAGTAGGCGGATTATTGTAGTTGTTACCGGTAATGTTCTCTGAGAGTTCCCATTTGTCACCACTGCACTGAAGTATTTGTCATATTTTTTTTCTGATTGTGTACGAATTTCTCATAAAACGAAAATCTGGTGCAAAAGAATTACATATATCACTTTCATATCATTTAAGGTATTGATCTCCGGGGCATGTGATGCTGCACGGCACTTGAGAGGTTGTCCAGGACGAGCACTATGCCCTGCTGTTGGTGCAGCTGCTGCGCCAACTATAGCACACTGCTGCTGCTGCCGATGCTGCTTCTGACGATGGTGTCGGTTACAGTGACGTCGTGGAGAGGTGCTGCTCCTGCTGCTGTGATCCGTATGACGTCATGGGAGGGTTGGTGCTGCGGCCTACTGCTTCTGACGTCACGGTGCATACCGTGAGGCGCAGGCTGCTGGTGATGTAGTGTTGAGATGATGACAGACAACACGCACAGCGGCGGGAAGGAGGGCGTCATGCCCTACCCTGCCCTGCCGCGCCCTGCCACGCCCCTGCCCAGCCCGCGCCACCGTCCTCACCCCTGGCCGTCCTCACAAACTTACGCACGAGACACCAAGATTATGTACACTGTTCCCCTGACACCGCCGCCACACGGTACACACGGAGCACTGGCTACGGCCGCCGGCGTCTGACAGTCCTCTCTGTCGCCGGCGGCCGTCACACTACTACACCTCCGGACACTCTACGCGGGGCTGCATGCGGCTCAGGGCATCAGGGACCACCACGCTCATGCCTACTTACGCCGCTACACGCTGTAACAATGTAAAACGTAAGTAAAACAAATATTAGTGGAGTGGGTCTGTATTATCTTCCTCTTACAATGAAAGCTGTCACACCAAACACAGAGAACTTTATCAATGTGCCATGATACTTCACCAAGAGGTAATTACTTACTCACTTTACTTATATCATTCAATTTCATCCAGAAATAACAAGAAGAAGTACTCGAACACCTTACACCAGCAGAGTAACTCACCGAACCTATAGATGGTGTGGGTAGTTGTACGCGGCTGCAGGATGACCGTAGTAGGCTGCTGCTGCGGCGTGGTCGGTGTAGGGGTCGGAGGCGCGGAACATGTGCTGCTGGCCGTCCATCATGTACCCCATAGACGCCGCATCCGGGGAGTACGCGCCCGCCGGACCTGGAAAATGCGGCACTGTGGCCAACATATTCATTACCCCGATGAACCGCCGTTAGTCACTACCTATTGGCGAGCTGAGAGGCAAGACTACTTCCTAAGATGACTACAAGATGCTCTTCAAGTACTGTACTTAGGTAATTACAAACTAATAGATATAAACTAATGCAACTTAATATAGAAATACTTCAGAATTACATATGAATAAAATCAACATATTGTTAACTACAATCTAAGAAGAATTATAAACTATTAATTACTTTATATATATATAAAAAGTGAACAACAAATAATAGTCTCACTCGTCGGGGATTTCTGATTTTTACTTGGAAGACGTAAAAACTTCATCTCCAATGAATGAGAAATTAATTACCAGTCTATTTAGAAGTAGAAGGAGACTAAAAAAAATGAACAACGAAAGGTGTTCATTGTTGTTGTAGTAGCAGGATTAAAATAAAGGCTATCCTCCCCCACTGACTTTTCATTCCCAGACAATTTTAGGAAGATGAAGAAGGGGCGCCGTGGGCAAGACGCCGACAAAAGAGGGTGTTGGTGTCTTTGTTTTGGTGATAATGGTTGCGAGGATGTGTGCCACCGTGGCAGACTAGCCGCCCTAACCTACTCCACTAACAATGTTCCTTTGTCTTAACCTTCCAGGACGGCCGGAGTCACAAGACGAAGGTGGAACACAGTTGGTGAATTTAGAATGAAAAATTCTGAGGTTCTATTTGATAGAGGACAATAGTGATGAGACACTACTATTTCGTTCTGACAGAAGGAAATTTAAAGTATAGACAGACACTATGAACTTTCACAAAAACCTTCCCTCACTCTAGCTGCCCAGCAATCCGTCATGGGTTGTCAAAATGCATAAAAGTAGGCCTATCCTTCCCACAGGCCTAAGAGGATTTCTCAATCAGCTGATGAGGATCTCCCCTCCGGCGACTGCTGGAGGCGAGAACACGAGAAGCTTTGGGGAGACGCAGGGAAGAGAGGGGGGAGAGGGAGAGGGGGAGAGGGAGGGACGGGAGTGTTGGAGGGGCGGCAGGCGCCGCTGAGTAAGTACCATTGATAAAATGAATCTGTAAAAGTAATGAAATATACTGTACCGTATGTAATATCAACAAGAGTGTAATGTAGTCAGTATGTGAACTAACAAGACTGCACATTCTCAATAGAGGAACCTCCCATGTTCAGTGGTATTGAATCTACAGAAATGAAAAGTCAGCTGGAGAAACAGTATCTGAGGTACTCCTAACCATGAACAGTGCTAAAAAAACTACAATCTACAAAACAGATGCTCACGCCGAGCACACACCAAAGTGCAGTGTAAAAGTAACGTTAAACAGCAGTTAATTATTATTTGTAGGACACCGCAATAACTTCAGCAGCCAAATCTTCGAGAGGTGAGTAACTCCCTTTAACATTTGGCCGCCAAGTATACGGAGTTAAATATTGGCAAAGCAGAAGTGGTGGCAGAGTCAGGATCAAGGAGACATCCAGTAAGGTTGTTAGCTGTGTGCAGTTAGTTCTAACTTTAACAGGCAGTTAAGAAGGTTTGTAGTAATTAATACAATATCAATTCATCACAAGTTAGTGTACCATTACGTGATCACATGCTAGTAATTCGTATATTGCTGGTTAATTATATTCAAACTTCTTGTACGTCCTTAACGGGAGACCTTCAGTAAACTTATCCTCTGACTGTCTAAGGAAAACAATAAATAAAAATATCGATTATAAATTTCCTATTGTCTTTACTCCTCTCCCCACTCTTGATTTTGGTGGGGGGGCGGAGGGGGGGGGGGTGCTAAGAGCCTAAATAAGGGAGAACTAATAGTAAGAACTGTGCATGATAAGGCAGGAAACATCTTGTACGCACAGGTATTTTATTTACTCATTACAGTTTACTTTTTTTAATTAGTGACATCATAGTTAATGATAACTTCCCTGTCGGTTAATCTTATTAAGTTACTTCATCGTATAGATCCATATAAAGTTAAAGTCGATCACAGAGTCATCTAAGGAAGTCTGGTAAATACAGTAATAGTATTGGGAAAAATAAACCAGTACTAGCCGACAGTATTGTTCTAACCTATAGATTTATCATTACAGTATTTTTCTTGTAAATAAACCATAAAAAAAAATGTTTTTTTCTTTTTCGTTGAGGAGTTCGTTCCTGTGAGCTAAGATCAGTCGCACATACATACATACATAGAGTACATACAATATGTTACACATATACGGTATATGAATAATTTCATTCAAAACCTAACTTAACCTACTTTAGGTATAACGTGATTATATACCTTATGATGGTAAACGACGTCTTGTTTTGTTCAAATTAGTTTCCATTAATTTGTCGTAATAAAAACAAAACGTTATCCCTACCTAACGCGACACACAAGACACAACAGTAGTAGAAATAATTAGCATATTTGTTCATACAGACGAGAAAACTTCATTCTTTTCCTTATGGCATTTACCCCAGATGTTATTTTAGGTCGACAGCATTACAACACTAAAAAGAAAACCATTAATACTCATAATATAACGGAAGCTATATATGGGATCATTCTGTCCAGGAAGGCAGTGTAGCTCCCCGGCCACGTGGAGGAGGAGGAGGAGGAGGAGGAGGAGGAGGAGGAGGAGGAAGAAGGGACAAATTAGGGGTCATACATAGGTCAGATGTCATAAAGAAAGGAAACATTACAAGATAAAAATAGTTTAACAAAAATAAGGATAAAAGCCAAATGAAAGAGCAAAAGAAAACGAAGGGTAAACAATGGTAGAAAGGAGAGACTAAGAAAAAAATGAGAAAGGACAAGAGCAGAACGAATGGGAGGGAGAAGGAGGAGGCGGAGTTGAGAAGATACATATGGGAGGGGAAGGGTGGAAAAGAGGGGGGAGGAGATAACACGGAAAAGAAGCCGGAAATGTGAGGAAACTTTAAAAGGACAACGAAAAATGGAAGGGGAGACAAAACTATAAACGAGAGGAGGGGAAGAGAACAAAGAAAAGACGAAGAGAAGGACGGAGAAAGGGATAAAAGAGACACAGAAAAGAAATGAGGACGAGACAGACGAGGAGAGAGAGAACAAAAAAGAAGAGGAATGGGTAAGAGAAAAACTAAAGAGAGGAAATTGTTAGACTAGGATGTGGACGCCAACGGAGAGAGAGAGAGAGAGAGCACTAAAACGTAAAAAATATGAACAAGGAAGAGAAAGGAAAAATGAGGAGGAAATCAGAGAGAATAAAATGAAAGGAGTCCGGAGAATGCTGACAGAAGGGGGAAGAATGATGAGGGAAGTAAGACAAAAAAGAAAAAGGGAACGAAAAGGAGGATAAAGAATAGAAAGGTGAGAAAGATGGTGAGAGCAAGGAAAGGGGGGTGAAAGTTGGGAAAGGGGCTGAGAGAGAAGGTATGTAGAGGTATGTAAGTAAGAATGTGGTGAAGGAAGGAGAGAAGAGATGGGGCAGTGTATATTGAAGGCAGAGTGAAAGGGAGGCAGGGGATGGAATAGGAGGAGGAGCAGGAAAAGTGATGATGTGGGATAAAGAAAAACATGAGAAAGAATAACTAACACACATAGTACATCACTCTCCCTGTTTATATGTGGTGGTGACGCTCCCCCTCCCCCCCCCCTTACTACCATCTCACCAACATAATTAATGGCATAGTTGCCTGGCTACTGGACGTGACTTCTCCCTCATGGTATATATATATATATATATATATATATATATATATATATATATATATATATATATATATATATATATATATATATATATATATATATATATATATATATATATATACATACATACATACACACACAATGAAATATAAGCTTGTTTTGAATCTCTCCGTCATCCATAATTTTGGTCATCAGTGCAGGTAACCTTATCAAGGTCTACATCAAGGTGCTACGACCAGTCACTCCTTCCTAACGCAAAGATGGCAAGTGCAGTCACTCCTGCCTAGAATACTGTGTGTGTACCATGTAATCATAGAGATATATTCCATATTTTTTTAAACTACATACAAATTCTCTCCTAGCCAGCCAGTCAGCCAGCCAGCCAGCCAGCCAGCCAGCCAGCCAGCCAGCCAGCCAGCCAGCCAGCCAGGCACGCAATAATCTTACTTCCCGTCACGTTGAAGTTATCTTATATCCTTATTTCATTGAATCTTATTATCATGAATCCTTCTCTCTAAAAAATTTCCCTCCCAGGAACCGTCTCCCTATTAAAACTCAGTTCACGTTGTTGGACGGTGCGCTGCTGAGTAAACTAACAACCACAAGGGCAAACTAATCTCCAGTAAATTTCCGGAGGCTGGGGGAGTTAGAAACTTAAAATTTTCAAATACAGTGAAAATCCTCTTCCACCGTCCAGGATTTACAGTTTCTCTTGCTCTGTTTGCTGATAAAGTGACTATCACACTGACTATCATCCGGGCCTCCCCCTGCTGGCCACAGCACCCTGATTACTATCCACACTAACGGATGACGGTAGTTCTCCCAGACTATTTACTTGTGATGCTGGCCTACAACTACTACTGGTCGTCCCCATAACCAGCGTCACACCAGGCTCCACTCGCCACACCTCTGAGACTTGTTTACGAGAAATACTCTCCCTCGGCGGGGTGCAGTTGAGGCCCCAGAGAAATGTTTTGAAGAATAAACATTGTTATTTTCGACACAACACGTACCCAGCCGCAGGGAAACCTGGACACTGGGAGACCCAAAAGCCAGGAGACCTAGCTACCAGGAGATTAAGCTGCCAGGAAACCTAGACGCCAGAAGACCTAGCTGCCAGGAGATCGAAGCCGCTAAGAGACCAAGCAGCCAGGAGATCTACCTGCCAGAAGACTTTGTTATTAGGAGTCTTATCTTCCAGGAAACTTATCTGTCGGAGTTCTAGCAGTTGGAAGACCTAATAGGTATGTCCTAGCTGTCGAGGAACCCGTAGAAAATCTTTTTTACCCAACGACATAGCTGCCGGAGCCCTAGCTG